TTTATTATGTTTAAAATTTAAATATTCCGTTATAGATGTGATTTAAGTTGTTTGTGTCTGTTCTATAATTTACCGTATTATTATTACATATGTGATATGTTTCGCTAATATTTCTTTTATACCAGTTTTCCTCTAAATCTAGGATAGTTGCTGCGTCAAATTTGGGACCAAAAAAGAAGTCCCAATAAAGGGACGAAACGTCCAACTAAATCAAACATAGTTCTACTTCTTTCATGTCCAAGTTCCCTGTGAAATTTCATCATTAAAAATTGTAATTTTTGGACGAGAGAAATACTAAATAAATTAAAGTTTACCTTGATTTTCTTCTCACATAACCATTCTTCAAGAGTGTAAATTTATTCTTGTAGCGCGTTAGAGTTCGTTGATTGTTGCGGATCTTTGTTTCTGGTAAACATTGCAGTGTCATTCGCAAATGTTAGGATTTTGCAGTTTACCTTTACTGGTATGTTTGCTCTATAAAGGTTGTAGACAATTAGTCTGAGGATGCTTCCTTGTGGCACTCCAACTTTGATACGTCTAATCTCTGAACGAGTATCCTTGATTTTTACGTAGAATATTCGATCAGAAAGATAGGATTTTTAGGAGCTTGTAATACAATGCTAAACGTATTTGTAATAGTCCATGATGCCATATTTTGTCGAAAGCTTTTTTTTTTGTATACCTGTGAGTATATGGCTGTACAATACTTTTTGTTTTCCAAAACTGTGATTATTGTATTGATTACAAAATATTAAGTATCTTCATGAGGGGAAAGTGATGATAGATATCTTTCAAATTTTCTATTATTGTAGTCTCATATGCTTTCTTTGATTTCTTTCATTAATTTATTATAATAAATGTGTTTATTTTAAATCGAAATAAGGATGACTCTTTAGGGGAATCGACAGGCGTTTAGAAAATTTGTATCGGGTAGACAAATGTTTTGTTTAAATTATCGAGAATGATGCATCGAGTGCAATTATTGGCTCGACGTTATCTCTTGGGATCTTTCACTCACTCACTCACTTAGTCTCTCTCTCTCTCTCTCTCTCTCTCTCTCTTGATTAAGCTCAAATCTTAAGCTTAGAGTGTCCCTTAGGGCAACCGTATTGTTGTGACAAGTACACATGGGACACGATAGAACGGTAATGCATAAGAGACAAGCAGAAAGAGAAAGAGACAGAGACAGAGAGAGAGAGAGAGATAGATAGATAAATGCATTTAGAATTAGAGAATGAAGTTATGTTAGAATGTAGAGACAAGAGAAACGGGTTCCAAATCAAAGCTGAAATTCATCGGTCAAAGAGACACGACAGGTTTAGGAGTCGATGACATGCCAACGGTTTATGCGTTTCAGGCAAATGCTCGTTGTCCTGGTCCAGCCCCCTCCTCATCGGCTCGGTAATCTTGCTGATGCTGTGCTTCGGTCTGAGTTTCTGTGCTGCCCGATACAAGCCGTCAAACTCCCACACGGATCCCTTGCGCATTTGACAATCGATTCGCGCCTACGCTTCGCCGAAGACGACGACAACTGCTCTCTCTTTCCTCGCCGCTGTTGATCGTCACTCTGATGTAGTCACCTGATGACATACGTATATACGTACGTATATCTATACTCTGTGTATGTGTGTATGGGTGTATGTGCAAGCAATGCGCGATGAAGTAGCAAGGATGTTTGTGTCTCTATATGTATGCGTATATATGTATGTGTGTGTATATCTACTTATATATTACATCGAAGAAGCAGTAAGGTTACTACGAAATACGTATTCCTAAGAGAAATTGCATCGATTCTCAATTCTCGTTGCTCTTTCGAATATCGTCACGTGAGTATACACGCGAGAATACGAAATCGATTGTTCTCTCTATAAGAATAATTTCAAATATGTGTATGTATGTATGTATGTATGTATGTATGGATGGATGGATGGATGGATGTATGTATGTATCCTTAACTTGGGCGTTTCTATGTGTAATGCGCGTGTGTTTGTTTGTTTGTTTGTTTGTTCGCTGGAAGTATGACTTATAGTAGATAGAGAAAATAATAAAAAGATAAAAGACGAGTCTAAAGAATCGTCGAGTAGAAGCGATTTCAAGAGTCGTACTTCAGTCACAGTGGTGGGTTCATTTTCGCCATCCTACTCGAAAACTCTCTCCTATCATTTTTTTTTGTCTCCTCCTCTCTTCCATACTTGGTACCGATTTTTAAGAGTAATTTTTTCCTCTCAAAGGGGAAATTTTAACTCTGGAAGAATTCGAATTGATTTTAATTCTTATTTTATTTTCTTTTCTTTTCTTACGTTTCTCAAAGAGGTTTCCTTTAGTTTTTTTTTCTTTTTTTTTTTTTTTTCTTTAATATTTTCATTGAAAAATTGCCTAAGGCAAAATAATGAACGAAGGATGAATTCTTTTCTCTTAGATCGATTCATACTAAACCGCCTTTGACTCTTGTGTAAGTATAGTATAGGTATACCATTGGAAAAGGAATTTTGGCTCTTACCTTATATTATGTTGGCATCCTTTTTCAACTTTAGCCCGCGGTCTTCGAACTCATTCAAATCCTTTCGTTTTGTGAAGATTTGAATTCCTTTATAAACTACTCTCGAGAAAAAGAAAAAGAAAGAAAGAAAGAGAGGGAACGAGAAAACTCGTTCTTCTTTTTCACTCTTTTTCTTTTTCTATTCATCCATCTATCTGTCTTTCTGAGGTTGCTTTTAAAAGCTGGCCGCAGGTAGATTCCCGTCTTTTCCTATGAGAAAGAGTATAAGATAAAGACAAAAAGAGAGAAAAGGATGGGAAGAAGTAACGACGAGAGAAAATGACGTACAAATGGAAGCGTTAAATTCGGATGCCTCATAGTTTACGCAGTCGCGTATATAAATACGTATACATATACATATACATATAAATATACGTATACTAATGTAGGTATTTAGCGATATACTGATGGAATTTACAGCGTGGCACGCTTATCTCCGGCAAAGCTGCGTTGCCGTTCCTGGATTCCACTACCCTTTCGCGTGGACACTTGTCTCCCAGGGGTTTTAGGTCGTAAACAAATACTTCGTAAGTACGTTTACCCCGTGTACGGATTTAAAGCTCGTACATACATAAGCTTTAACTTCTCTCTACTTGTATATTTCTATATATATGGATATATACATATATATGTATACATGTACATACATTTATATGTAGTTATAACACATTATCGGTGTACGCGGTTATGCTCGCACGCGTATACACATCCAATAAATCTTCACCCTTATCATTTTCAAAACACTAACTCGATGACGATAAGCTTAGAAATTTTTTTACTTTTCCTATTTATTTTTTACTTATATAAATATTTTCATCATTTTTGTCGTACCAACGATATATAATGTTGTTCTATCGATAAAATATTGTTCGAGGATAACAGAGAAATCGTTCAACAAACAAAGGCATTATCGGTCAATCAATGAAAAAAGGAAAGAAAGAAAAATAAATGGCTTTCGATCCAAATGATAAGTTTAACGTCCCTTTTGCTAATTCTATTAGGATTTTTACGCAATAATGCGGATTTTCTCTTACTGATTTTTACCAATCCCTGATTTGATTGCGACACGACATTCGTGCGTGCGTGCGTGTAATACGTGCTACGCGTATTCCACTCATTCCCCATCTCTCTTTTTGTAATTCTCTCTCTCTCTCTCTCTCTTTCTCTTTTTCTCCCTCCCTTTCCTTTCACACACTACGAATTCAACAATACGATCCACTGTACTTTTTTCGGTAAAAACGAAAATCTGTGGTAAAATCCAAGGGTTTTTTATTACGTTTTCCTTCTGTGATTGTGTGCAGGCGCGTGTGTTTTTGTTTCGTTAGGATCAACCAGTCGAAATATTTCACTGACAGAAGAGGGACAACAAAATTGTTGAAAAAAAGTTTTATGCCAAAAAAAAAAAAAAAAGAAAAAAAAGAAAGAAACGAGATATTTTTAAATAAAAAAAACAGTTATCATTTTTACGAAGGCGTTATAGACATTATTTTATCGACATCGAATTCCACGTTCCTTTTTCGTTATAAAATTTCATGGCGATAATGATAATGATAACGATGACAATGGTGGGTGTTCGAAGAAGGCAAAAAAGAAACGAAAAGTAATGAAACGTCATGGCGTTTACGTAACGAGACTCCTTTTTTCCTCGAGAATTCTATAAGTATACTCGTTTCTTTTCCATCGTCTCACTCGTTATCGATCGGTTCGTTTCAATTCTCATTCGTTCTTTTTAATAAAAGAAGAAAAAAAAAAGAAAAAAGATAAATCACGTAAGAGAAATCGAAAGCGTTAGTTTTAATCAGGACATAATATAATATTAGCAATCTAAACTTTTTTTTTTTTAAAACTAACGTCTGACATTTAAAAAATAGAATTTTCTACTTTAGAAATATAATCAAATTCAGTTCTTCTTTTCTTTATTTTCTTTTTATGAAAAATGAAAGAATACGATTGTAGGTATCATTCCATATATTTATTTAACGTAATAGATAAAGTAAGAGAAAAATAGAATGTAATATGTTAGAAAGTAAGTATAATAAAGTTGTGAAAAATATTTCACTTATACGCACCAGTTGAGAATCGCACTTACTATACTCTTACGACAATGGTCTGATTCATTTTAGTGAATTTCACTTGTTATAAAAAGCGAGAAGAAAACGATAGAGATTTTTTTTTTTTTCGTCGCTTTTTCTCTCTTTTGATAAAAAGAAACGAGTAGAACGATCGTATTGACGATGGAAAGAAAGAAGTAAAGTTAAAAAGAGAAAGGAAAAAAGAAAGAAAGAAAGAAAGAAATAAAAGAAGAAAACGTGACTCGAAGAAAATGAGTATAATTCGACGCGTAAGGTAGCAACTCCCGTGTTCTATGGTTCTGCGGTAAGTTAGATACGATATTTTTCCGATAATTTGAAAATGATCACGAGGAATTGTATTTAATCGAAAATCAAAAGTAATATATTTATATATATATATATATATATATATATATAGAAATGAAGATTGTCGAAACGATTGGCTGTTTAAATGGAAAAGTTGTTCGACCGAAGTTAAATACTTGTTTTCAGACGTGTATGTATAACCAGATTTGTTGGATAGAATCTAACCGCGTAATGAGAGTCTCGATACGGTTTTAGCGGTACTCCGCAATGAAAATCCACTCGGATAAATGAGATTTCGATAAATAGAGTTATATTATAGGAGATTGAGAGAAAGAGAGAGAGAGAGAGAGAATTCGCGTTAAAACAGTAACTTCTCAGCGAAGAATCTTTCTCAGGGATCACTTTCAACCAATGAATCGATCAATCGATTAATCAATCAATCGTTCGATCGAAGGATTTCTAGCAAAAAGATCTTTCTCTCTCTCTCTCTCTCTATCTCTTATTTCTTTTTCTGTTCTTTAGTCGAAGAAGTATCTTATTTCTTGTTAAATCCTGTTGACTTTATCTTTTATATTTTTCTCACGCAAACACGCGGGGAGATACACGCGATACATATGTGTACTCGAATACAAACTTAAACTTTTACTTTGTCCTTACGCAATCGACCCGATCCCATTTTGCCTTTTATCGACTTCCTACTTCTTTACCGAAAGCACTCGACGTGTTGCTTTTATATCGTTGTAGCAACATAACGTGTCGTCGTGGAATAGCAAACTTAAAAAGAAAGAAAGAAAGAAAGAAAGAAAAAAAGAGAGAGAGGGAAGAATCATCGAATCTCTTAGTAGAGAAGTAAAGTAAAATGTGTAAGGGCTCGAAAAGATAAGAGAAAAGTATACCCCTTTTGACTTTTACTACTGCAACGAAGAGAAGACACGAGCGACTAATCGACCTATCGGTTTTCTAGTAAAACGCGCACAACGTTTCCATAAGACGATTGTCCTACTCGATCGTACGTATAAAAGCGACTTTTCCTGTTTTCCTAGCATTTTCTCTACAAGAGACAGGTTCTTGTGTGTTATCTTTTCGTAGTACAAAAGAGGCGAAAGTGGTCAAGAAATAAAAGAAGGAAAAAGTGTGTGTCTACTGTGTGTGTGTGTGTGTGTGTGTGCATGCATGGATGTCTCTCTGTGTGTATAAGTAGGACACGTAATGTTGTTAACCACGAAAATGGTGCCAAGTAAAATGCGGTGGTTAAATTGGAAAACGTTTCTATTCCTCGTGCGAATTTTATTTATTTATTTTTTTTTGTCTTACCTTTTTTTCCTTTTTAACTTAAGTCTTAAGATGAAGAAATCTTATCAATTTTTGTTTCCTGTAAATATTTCTTAACCTTAAACTTGTACAAAATTATTTCGATAATTCGGTGAGATTTCATTGCGAACGTTAATTTTGTATTCAATCATTGTCATCGTCGTCGTTAAAAAAGTATTTACATAATTAATTCGTAACATTCGATTGGTGTGATTTCATTAGAAAGTACCATTTGTAATCTATCATTGTCATCGTTATAGTAAACTCGCGTTAATAGGACGTATTACATTTCAACGAATCTCATTAGGAAAACAATAGCAGAACAAACAGCTTCCAATTGGAGAAAGATAAATCGTATTTCATGGAGTTCGAAGAGACTTCAGAGAAGAACGAAAGAGAATGAGAAAGCACGATGAAATACATCCGGTATGTGTAGTTGATTATGAGATCTAAACTTACTTCGCGGGATTGTAGGAAAATTGCTGTCAAGTTCATAACGCGGTAAAGCTAGTCGGAATAGTCGTTGGAAGTATCCGATAATCTGGGTCTAAAACGGAAGGTGATAGGGGATAAGAAGAGTAAAGAAAGAGAAAGATAGATAGAGGTATATAGATAGATAGAGATAGATAGAGAGAGAGAGAGAAAGGATTGGAAGGGGGCGGAAGCGAAGAAGGAACTAGAAGGAAGAACGAACGGGACTAAAACTCTCGTTGAACTTCTACAAAGACACGGAGCAAGTAGTTTCCAAACGAATGATCGATCTTTCAATGGTCCAAAGTATTTCGAAGAACGGATAGTCGAGCTAGATGATCCTTTAATTTTTGTTCTCTCTAGATCTTTCTTGCTCTTGTCGTACAAAACGCTCGAATTTCCTTTCCCCATTTTCCTTCGACGTCACGAACGAAAACGAGAGAGAGAGACAGAGAAAGAGAGATAAAGAGAGTGAGTGAGTAAGCTAGTAAAAGAGGGTGGAAAGGAATATAAACTCAACAATGGATGCCTTTCACGGGGTATTTCGACTTGAATGGCCTATTTTATTATTACTGTCGGCGATCCGGACGGATTCCTTCGCGCGGAAAAGTCGTTGTAAGAAAAAGAAGAAAGAGAAGATGAAGAAGATGAAGAAGAAGAAGCAGCACGAAAGAAGAGTTTAGTAAATGTTACCCCGATGAAAGTCAGGGAAAGAGGGAAAAGAATAAAGGAGGAAGATGACGAAGAGGAGGAAGAGGAGGAGGAGGAGGGGAAGAAAAAGTAGTAGAAGTTGTTCGAGTGATGCCAATAGTGATTCTAGTACGCTTACTGATGTCGATGATAAGTCGAGAGGAGTGGGGAAAAATAGATCTTTAAGTTCTTGAAAATATACGAAAAACTTGGCACACTCGTTGGTGCTATTCCTCGTTTACCTTGTTCAGATTCTCTGTCTCTCTCTCTCTCTCTCTTTTTCTCTTAACGATAATTCTTTTGATCGGACGAATTTTTCCATAGAAATTCCTTTGTCACGAATATCGAGAACAAGGAAGGAACATAAAAATGACGACGAGGATCTCTCGATCATTATCGTTAATCGACGATCGCTACCTGTTGCAAAGATTTGAAAAGAATACCAACGCATCCCGTAGCCTTTTTTTAATCTACCTTTGCGTTGTTTGAAATATTAACTCAAAGAGTATATTAACTTGATTATTAATTCTAGGTTTACGGTCATTTTTGTACACACATGTTTGACGAGTTAAGGAATATACTTATGCGGTATAATGTATCATGCAAAATTTGAACATTAAAAAGGCAATGGTTGAATGTTTTTGGGCATATATTCGCGTATCATTCAATCAATAAGAATAAGAAAAAATTTGCTGGAAAATAATAGTCATGATTTCGGACATTTTGCACGTGAAGTTTAAACCCGTCATATTGACGGATCTCGTAAATCTAATGTTCAAAATTGGAGAAACAAAAGATAAAGAGAGAAAAATACATGCAAAGATACAAATTAGACAGCGAGATAGAGAGAGAGAGAGAAAAAGAGAAAAAGAGGGGAAAGAATATTTCTCGAGGGAAACGTATTTCATATTTTTCTTACGAGAATGCATACCTTTATCTTCTATATCAATTCTTTTTATTACATTCTCGCTTGCCATCGTCGTCATAGACTTAGAATTTCTTTTTTACCAAACTGATTGCTCTTTTTCTCTCTCTCTCTCTCTGTTTCTTTCTTTTTTCCTCCTATAGACTTTTTATTTGGCACAATACGTTACTTCAAAAACGATTTTCATTGATATAAAAAGCACACTTGACGCATAAAAATAATCAATAACGGCGTAATAGAAATTTTAATCACGTTTCAAAATATGTACTTATTTATACATACATACATATGTATAAACATATACAAAGACATATTTATCGATAAATTGACCGATGTTAAAACATTGAAAGCCGTCTTGTTCGTTCACGTTTATATTCTATTGTATATGTAAATAAGTATAAATCAATGTTTTTTTTTCTTTTAACATTTTAATTAACAATAAATTACTTTTCAATGATATTATAAGCGAATATACTAAATAATAGTTATAATACTAGTAAGTAAGCATTCTCTGACCACAGCTGCTAGTAGAATCTCTGGAAGATCTGTTAATTTACCTTGCTATCTTACGTAAAGCTTCTACAAGAACTCGTCTTTGATTTAACTTTTGAAAAGGAATATACCCGGCAGTATTTCGAGTGTGTCTCTTCTCTTTAATGGATTTTCTTAATAACGTCGAGGGCACGTTGAAGGGATAGAAAAAGAGAAAGAAAAAGATAAGATCTTTTATGAACTTTAAAGAACGTTCTATCTATGTTCTCGTAATTTTATATAAATATCGATGTATACATATGTATGTTAATATGTGAACACATAAAAATACATACACATATATCCATATATATATCAAATACGCATATGTAAATATCTACATCGTACATCATACATTCTCTCTCGATCGGACTATATCAACCATTGGAATTTTTCGTATTTCTCGATGCTTTCGTTACCACACATTTCACCTTACATCGATCTTCGAACCCACTCGCTTTTCCTCTTCCGCTCGCCCACCCCATTCCCACCTGCCGACCACCCTTTTACCTCTTTTCACCCTCTCAACACCATATCCAAGTGCGATTTCTGAATTCAGCATACAATGGATAGCATTGAAGCGTAGTTTCCATTCGAGCATTGAAATGCTCGCTCACCGAAGCGTCGAATCTACACTGCGAATGCACGACAATGCTCTCTACAATAGGATTTTGCCGACAGGCATGACCGCAGACGCGGTGATTAATTAGGGTATCCGAAGTCGTGGCCAGATACGACGACGGTAATACTATTCCCGTTTCTATTCGTTCCTCTCAGTTATCCCTTTTCCCAATCTTTCTCTTTCTCTCTTTATTACCCCAATGAAACCGCTTGATGAAACCGCAAAGTTCACTAGGTCCTCTTGTATTTAGACGTTCAAGATTTATCGCTAATTAACGCTTATTATTCGTATTCTATGATATACGGCGATAACTAATAATAATTACGTGTGGTCACGTAGAAAAATACTTGTACAACCGATCGATTTCACTACTCTCTCTCTCTCTCTCTCTCTCTCTCTCTCTCTCTCTCTCTCTCTCTCTCTNTACGTGTGGTCACGTAGAAAAATACTTGTACAACCGATCGATTTCACTACTCTCTCTCTCTCTCTCTCTCTCTCTCTCTTTCTCTCTCTCTCTCTCTCTCTCTCTTTTTCTTTCTCTTTCTCATCCTCTTTGTAACTTTCAAAATATGTATTTCGATAAGGTTGAACGTCGTCATCATTAGAAAAAAATGTTTATCGTTTATAGATGATACACCTATCGTTTGATAAAAATAATTCGAAGTATCGAATTCGGAAAGGATAGATAAAGGAAGTAGTGTAGTCCTCGAGCGTGAGAATCGATCGTAAAAAAGAAAAAAGAAATAGGAAAGGAAAGAAAAGAAAAGAGATGAGGAAAATAGAGAAAGAGAGAAAGAAAACAAAGGAAAGAAAACAAAAAGAACGTATAAACCGAACGAGTCACGTCGTCAATAATTTTCATCACCACCACCACCACCACCATCTCCCCCTTACACCCAATCCCGTGTTTCACAACCCTCGGGCGTTCGTTATTATTTCACTTACGTCCGTTATGGCGTAGCCATTAAGTCGTTAACGAGCGAAATCGTCGATAATTCTGATAGTAAACCTAATTTCGAATGTGCAGCTAAAAAATGTAAAAAGCTGAAGTAAGCACGTTCATCAAGTTTGTTGTGTGGGTGATGAAAAAGGAAAGCAAAATAGAGTGGCAATAGAATAGTGATAGAGATAGAGATAGAAAGAGAGAGAGTGTGATGGGGGGTGGGAGAAGGAGGAAGAGAGAGAATAAACGTTAGTTTGTTGAGCGTAAAGAATATACTAAAGAGTTTTTCTCTTCCTTGAAAGTTTAATGAATTGAATTCATTGGTCAGGAAAGAGAGAAACACATTTATCTTCTACGAAGGTGAAAAAGTGGGGGAGTGGGGACGGGAAGAAGGGAGCGATTTGCTGGAGTGGAAAAGGAAAAGAAGAAGAAGAAGAAGAGGAAGGAGGGGCAAGGAAGAGAAGGTTTAACGAATTACAATACCGACGAGTAAAAACGCCGAAGCTGCTCAACGAGCGAGTTATTTTCCTTCTACTTCTATTATTTTCTATGTACGTGTGCGCACATAGTATGTATGTATGGATGTGTGTGTGTGTATGTGTGCTCGTGTTTGTTTAGTCCGATCGATCGATTCCTCAAAAATCCTAAAGACTCTCTCGTTCATTATGGATTCGCCAACTTAGGGATTATCACGAAGAGATAGTTTCTTTAAGGATCGGAATAAAGGATACGCGTGTGAACCCTTTTCAAGGCTAATCTGTATTACAAAGAAAAAAGAAGAGAGAGAAAAAAAGGAGAGAAAAGAAAAAAAAGGGCGATTGAAAGAACATCGTGGATAATATTATCTCGATATGAATAAAAATGAAGGTTGAACTTTGTCAGGACTTGCTGAAATCGTGGTTAAACTTGTAAAAGGGTGATTATTTCTTTAAAAAGAAAAGCAATGTAGAAATTAAAATTTTTTTCAATTGTATATATAGGTCGTATATTTCCTCGATAATAGGGGAGCACGCATTTATTTATTATTTTTATTTATTATCTTAAAAAAAATCATCTAAAATTGTACCTCGGATTTGTTTTGTTATTTAATTTTTTAAACCATAATTCTCTAATTTTTATTAATTTTACTTTTTCTAATGGATAGACATAACTTTTCAAGTTGACCACGATTATTATCTCACGGCTTGTATGCTACGCTTAAGTACGTACATACGTGTGTGTGCACGTATGTTGTATACATATACAAATACAATATCGTCAGGATCTCTCGTAATAACATTTCGTATCGAGTTTACTTAATTCTTCGCGCGATGCAAGTTGGAAATTCGTAAAGCAATTTCTGCTATTGTGTAAGCTCTCTTCATTTTGCTATCTCGCATGAATGAGCTTATGGTTCTAACGACCTTACACAGCACACACCGAATCGACCATCGACGTTCCCATAACGTTTTGCATTACAAAGAGAAGATATATATCATCGTCACGTAATATTTCATTAACTACAAAGTTTTCGTAACGAAGTTAAATTTGTTAATATGTTACACAAATCTTATCTATTATATATATGTGTGTGTGCACGAATTAACCGAGCGTTTTATAATTCATACTTTTTTTTCGAATTATACGAAAAAGAGAAGAGAAAAAGAATACAATGGAATTTAATGATTGAAAAATCATCAAACGTACCCATATACTTTTCTAAATAAGTTTTAACCTATTTACTTATTTCTTTATGTCATAAATTTAATTTAAAAACGCGTACTCACGCGTCAGAACGTCTGCTCAAATATATTATAATGAAAAGCGAGAAAATTTTGAGATTATGAGGTAAATGCAATTTTGTTTGTATATAGTAAGCATATAGATACACACACACACACACGCATACGTATATATACCTGGTATATATATATATACACCTATAGGAATGAAAAAATGCACTCGGTCTGCTGTAATGAAACGATTTCACGCTCGCAAGATCGTACATCGACCCTTCTATATTTGTTTTGCGCATCGATTCGAATACCAGACGATTTTATCAGCCCCATCGCATTTTGATTATTGAGCATATCGTCCTTGATAATCCGTAATCTAACTGGGAGCATCGGCTTCGAAGCATTGCTCGAAATCTAATTATTCTTCATTATCCCTTTGCAAAGTGGATATCCATCGTTGAAAAGAAAGAATAAAGCGTTTCGCGACGTGGAACAGACAATTGTTAAAAAAGGAGACAGATGTATATGCACGTTACGTAAACGTGAGGATGAAATAATGTATGCAATAGAAAGAGAAAAAGAGAGAGAGAGAAAAAGAAAGAGAGAGAGCATGTACTTTGTCTGCACATTAATATAACAAGAGCGTTAAGTATTCCTCTTTTTCTGACCATTTAAACCGTATGAAAGATTCATCCTCTCAATAAAAAAATATTCCAGAGAAATATTGTAAAAAAATTTTGGAAAAAGTTCTACCAAAGCGTGCGCGAGGAGTACGATAAGCGATTATAAAATTAATGGTTCTATCGAAGTTAAAGATAAATATGTATCTATATACGCGTACGTACGTATGTTGAATCTTTAAAATATCATAATAAAGTTAATAATCCGAAAAAAAGCGGTCTTTATGAAACGATATAATCGTTTTAATTGTAATACTAAAAGTAAGATCTTCTTAACGGCTTGTTACGTTTTTTCTTTTTTCCTTTTTACCAAAGGAATGACGAAATATTATGCGTATGTTGTTGGCGATTGTACATATTATTAAATAAATATATAAATATATACATACATACGTGCATGCGATCACGTGTACATACGTGTTATTATAGATATTCGATGTGACGTAAATGTTAAATATTATTATATTTTATAATAAAAGCGAGAAAAAAAAAAACACATGGAAACTTTTTGAAAAAGTGGTTTTACTCTTAACCGGATTTTCTTTTTAACAGCGAAAATAAAAGTTCGTCTCATGAGAAGTTTGAAGAAGATTTTACTTTTTAATCATCGAATAACAAAATCAGGTAGGTACATACACGCATTACATATATAAAACTGAACCGTTACGAATTAATAAAATTCGTATTTTGACGTTAATAAAGACTAGCCCAACTACAAGAAAGAAAGAGAGAGAGAGAGAGAGAGAAATGAAAAAAAAGCAAACATCGTCTGAGTTCGATCGATTCGTGCTATTTTTGTGTGCGGCCGTGCATAAATGAAAAAAAATAAAAATAAAAAAATAAAAAACAAGGGGAAAAAAATGCAAACATTCGACTCTCGCACCCTTCGACACATCCTCGTCCATCATTTCTCCTATGAATGGTTCTACATCTAACAGGACGCGCCCCTGCCACGTATTTTAATAATCATGAGATTTCTCGACTTTTATACGACACGAAATATGTATATGTATATTTATTTCAGGAAATTCTATGATGTATTACAGCTTACGCAGGAAGAACAGCTTGATCGATGACTTCGTTCTTCTAATATATATATATATATATATATATATATACACATGTGTGTGTGTGTGTGTGTATATATATAGTATATATATATTCATATATTTTCTAAATTATCGTTCCTTCTTTATAAACATACACACACACACACACACGTGCACTTATACATGCATATATTCGTTCAACACAAAGTACTTTCAAGAAGTTAGATAATCATTTATCGATCTAAAGTTTCGGTCGTTATAACTTTGCAATAATTTTAACGAGAGATAATTCTTGGCTGGATCGATGCTTAAAAATAGATGAAAAGAAAAGAAAAGAAAAAAAATAGAATTGGAACATTAAGGTAGCATTACATGGAAGAATGTAATCTCGGATCTAACATAAGATTCATTACCATCGCCTTGTTCCAGACGTTAAGTCTCGTAAGGGTAAGAAGGAAGGAAGTTAGTTTGACATGAAGGGATTTATATATAATTTCGGTAAAACTGAAAATAAACGCCAATTAATAAACGCTCGGCAGTTCTCGTAATTAAAGTTAGACGACGATCGTTAGCATTTAAAGATAAGATTTATTTCGATGAATCGTTAATTGAAACGACACACCTGGGGTGATCTCCTCGTCAGCGGAAAGTGGGATAATAGAAAAAGGAAGAGATGGAATGGGATGGGATGGAGGGGTTGGGGGTGTGGGGATGGGGGGTAGGGAAACGGGACGATGGGTGAGGGAGGGGTGGTATGCGAGAGGACAGGGAAAGGGAATAGGAAAAGTATTTTATCGCTCGCACATGCAGACATTCGGGCTGCAGTTCAATTTACGCGCAGATGTACGTGACGTGAGGTTCGCGCACGTTTGGCAACCTCACTCCCAAACCCCCTTTAATCCCCCTTCTCCCACATTCCCTTAGAAGACGAACGGGCCAACGTGTTTACGTTTAGCCTGACTGTCAAGAAACTTTCAAAAGATATCTCGAATATTTTTCTATTTCTGTAAACATCTTTTTTCTCCTACCCATATTTTCGAAAACTCATTAGTTACGCGTCAATTGACGTGTTCTTAATACATAAATATCTTCTTCCAATATATTTTTTTTTTTCAAATATAAAAAGATCGATCACCAAACTTTTTCACGACACTTGAGTATTTAAACGCTTTTTCATATTTTTTTCGTTTTAACGTTTTCATTTATTTAAACGCTTTTAAAATCCACCAATTAAATTTATTTATTTATTTCTTTTTTTTTTTTCGTTTTCTTTCCTTTCGAAAAACAGATTCGATCGAGATTATTATTTTATACTTGATGAATGTTGAGTCAGACTCGACGTAGCTTTATCAGATTCACGTTACAGGTGGGATTATAAATTGTGAACAAAAAAATAAAGTAGCGAGTAAAGAGGCGAGAGGTTTAGTGGTTGTGTCGCGCGATTAAGATCATTAATATTGTTAAGAGCTTTGAGAAGTTATATATTGTTTCTTTATACTTATCTCTAACGAAGCAATTATTAAAAAAGAAACTTTTGAAAAGTAATAGCAAATCAAGCAACATGATAAACATATCATTTACGTTCAGCCAAAAGTCACTAACTATACTTTTGGCTCCGAAATGACTTATGTAGCTAATATTGCTTTAAAATTTTATAAATAATCTAATTTATTAGCCATTACTTTATAAAAGGTATCAATGGTTATATATGAAAGTATTAACAAAAAGCATACTTTTCCTAAACATGATTTTTCTCATTAAAAATTTGTTTGACGAATAATAATTCAGATTAGCATAAATGTTAGTTAATGATTTTTCATTGAACATAAACGTTATTATCTTTCAATTTCAATTAATACAATATAATTAGCAAAACACTTGCTTTTTCTTTTCTAAAAGTATCGTTTCTTATAATAGAGACAATCAAATAATTTAGGTACACAAATTTTATCTCCCCCTTTCTCTCTCTCTCTCTCTCTTTGAAAGTATATCATATCCTTAATATCGGAGCAGGAAGATTGGCTTCAATTAAGATTTCAAAATTAATTTACCTCTGTTAAGAGGAAAATTACGTAATGAAAGAAGAACCTTGCCTTCAGTGATATCCCAAATCGACGATTTTCGTACATTTACCGAGACTACTTGAACGAGGACTACGTAGACGAAAGTATAGAAGAAAAAGATACTCTTGGTACTCGTAGAAGATACATACGAGTATTAAAAAGCGAAAGAAAGAAAGAAAGATAGAGAAAGAAAAGAAAAATCAAAGTTCGTGGATACTCTCTTAAAAATTCATGCTTGTCAATCCAAAACTCGAAAGTATAAATTGCAAAAGTTGAAGGAAGTCGCTTCGTCATAATCGCTGGCTAAATCTATCTCTCTCTCTCTCTCTCTCTTACTTTCTTTCTTTATCTTTTTCTCATTCTAACTTCACCTTTATCTTTATCGCATTCACACGAACGATCGATGAAGGCCCGGTGCGTAAGAACTCGTCGTTTCATAGCATTCGCCGACGGCTCGTGAACCCACAGAGAACGAATACCCTTGTCTTCTATCTACCATCCCTTTTTACTCACCCTCCTTATTCAACCACCCGTCTTCTGTCATTGCCCTCAACCGGATATTAAAGATTCGGATGGCCGAAATTATAAATGACGAGGTCATGCGTTCGGGTCACGAGGTCGTCTTTCTCCATCCCCCTCTTTTTCTCCCCCCCCCTCTCTCTCTCTCTCTCTCTCTCTTTTTCATATTTCTGGTACGTCTCAACGCAACGGTAGACTGCTTTCTCGTTCCCGATAGAAGAATGAAAAAGAGTGAGAGAGAAAAAGAAAGAAAGAAAGAAAGAAAGACAGAGAGAGGGAACAACGAAGAGGAGGTTGCGAACTCGTCCCGCATCGATTTTACCGGTGGTTTCAGAGGGACGCTTCTCTCTGCCACCAGCCTTGTCTACCGGCTTCTCGTTCATTATTCAACGAGACCGGTGAATCGAGCATCGCGCCATAATGGAAATCCGACGATGACCTGTGCCATCGGACCGCGAAGCACCTGCTACACTCGATCTCCTAGCTTTCCTACCCCTCTCCCCCACCTTCCGTTTCCCTATCCATCCGCTACCCCCCATCGGTTGCTTACATAAACGTTCGTTCATCTTTTCTTTCGAGATTTCTTCATACTTTCTTTTTATTCTTCTTCTCTACCATTTCTATCTCTTTTTTTTTTCCACGATACGTACGTGAAATATTTTTTTTATTATTCATCCAAGGTTTGCATTTATTCATATTACGTTTTTATTTCTTGTGTATTTTTTTGTTTTTTCTTTTCTTTCGTTTGACTCTTACAGTTGATATCATTTGCATATTTGATTCGTTTGATTCGCGTGATTTTTGTTTGACAAAGAAAAATAATTTTTCCTATAGGAATTTATTTGAAATGTGTTCGTTTGTTTTTCTTTTTTTCTTATTTTACAATTCTTAACGCCGTTATATACAACAATTACGCTTTTAATGTAAGTCGAATATGTTCGTCGATTATGTTATTACGGGAAAAATCATTTTATTATTTTTATCATTACTATTGTGGTTATATATAAAATGGAATGCTTTCTTGCTGCTGATATATTAGCGATAAATACAAAAGACGTATCGATTGTAATGAAGAATTTTAAATTTTATGAAAAACAATATCTCCAATATAAAAATATTTTATGTGTTGTTAAAGAGAAAATAATACGAAGTTAAGCAATTCGTATAGCAGGTAGTCATTTTATTATGTACAAGATAACTAATAATACAACAACTACAATGCAAGATGAGATGAGTGGACAAAAAAATTGACGAGTCGATTTGATTATATTAATGATCTCTTGACCATAAACGAATCACGAAAATTATAATGAACCACGTTGTTAGTTCCTATTCCGTGGTGAGATCTATCGATTGCAAATACGAAAATAAAACAGTCGGGATAAAATGTTACTCGAGAGTCGAAAAGTACCAGGAGAGAAATCCGAATAATGTGGAAACCGAGATTATCGGTTCTGTCTCTGACAGTACTGTGAAGAGAACTTTTCCGTTAACGAATCACGTGTATCGAGTCGTGATCAATCGAGATTAAAACGGATCGAGAAGTCGGATAAGGACACAGAAACACGCGAAGTGCCGGCAAATGTTGTTGGTTGAAACCAGTGGTAAGTAAACTTGAAATATTTTTAGATCGTAACGAATTAAATTTATCGTTTGATTATAATAAAATCCCCACAAAAAAAATATGATCCGATGGTAATGAGAATGGTTTAAGATAAACAATTTTATAGATGTACTTTTTGATCATAAGCTATTATTCAAATGTGTTTTAATTATTTTTTTTTTTAAACTAAGTTTTTAAAGTAAATTATTTTTAAAAATAAGCACATATTTAATTATTCTTCGTTCGTTATATTATAT